GAGTTTGGAAGAAAAGCATCATTCATAAAAACTTAGCTTGAGCTAGCTTGGGAGATAATTTGAGATGAACATAAACGAAGCTAGAGCCTAAGATTTACAATTGAACAACATTGGAGAGTAATTTTTCATTTATCTTCTTAATTCAAGAGTTTAGGATTATTTAATTTTAAATAATATTAAGTTATAATGCTTGAATACAATTTAGTTTTAGGTTATAACTATTTTTAAACCTTGGATTGGATTAATATTTGGATTGATTTTGTGTTGAATGAATTTCTGAAATTTATGTTTATTACACTTACTTTTCCAATTAAATTAATGATTGAATTCTTATTATTGGTTTAATTGTCATTGTAGTGTTTGTTGCAAATTTAGGTTGTTTCTTTTATCTCTTGATTGTTCAATTGAATTGACAATTTTTTTAATTGTTCAATTAGATAATTTAAATATTTTTTCCAAATTTATCTTTGAATTATTTGTTGTTGGTTTTAGTAGATTTAATTTGCTTGATTCATAGTCATAACATTTGATTTACTATGAGTTCTCTAGTAAATTAAGTGTTAGACTTTGTATTTATAAGTTTCATTTACTTTAATTAGGTAATTAAATTTATTAATTTCACTTTCATATCATTTTTCTTTGGTCTAACTAATTAAATTGGGTTAGAAAAGTTAACTCTATGTGAAGTTTTAAGTTGTCCCCTTTATCACATTTGAATCAAAGTTTTCTTAATTTTTGGTCAATTAATCTTTTTTGTCACTTAATTAATTTCTTTCGCTTTCATGTCATTTTTCATGAACAAAAACCCCCCAATCATAATTTAGAACTCATGCATTGCATAATAGAATTTAGTTATTAGACTTTAGCATTAGCATCCATTTAGGTAATTTTAGTGGTATAAATTACATTTTTTCATTTTCATTTTAGTGTAGAAATCTAATATTTAGTTTTTGTATTTTTTTTAGTAATTAAATAACTAGAACCAATTTAAGATAATCCTTAAATTGCTCATTGGAAAGAATGACCTAAGGTTGGCCTATACTATATTAAGCCAATTTTAGTTTAATTGAGCGTTGACACAACTAAGGCAAAATCATTAAGAACTCCCTTGCTAATGTATCACTTGTTAATGAGCACTACAGACCTTAAATTATTATATGAGCAACATCCTAGACTTTGAACTTTAAAATTTAAAGCAAATTATCTCCACCATTTATGTGTAACCAAATCAGCCTTTGCATGGTCCACCTTGTGGAACACATCGTTTGCTATGACAAATGAATTTAATAAAATGACATTTTTTTCTCCTTTTTTATAATTTTTTTTTTCAAACGATTGGTATCTCATACTTTCATATACTTTATAACTCTGATTTAGTCATATTTTAAATAACATCTATTTATTTAATGGTTAAAAATAGAGATGCCATTTTAAATAACAAATTTTTCTATATATTTGGCATTATCAGGGTGTAATATATCATAAAATAGTTTGTATGAAAATAAAACAATTTATCATTTAACCTACATGAATGCATGGGCCAATGAAATTTAAAAAGAAAAAAAAAAGAAAGAATAAGTTAGAATATATTTCAAATTGTAAGTTGCAAGAGGTGAGAAATTTTAAAAAATATTGATATTTTTTAATATGTGCAAGGCTAACATAATGCAAAATAGAAATTATTCCTTACAGTTTAAAGAAGAGTAATTGTACGTGAGACTCATCGTAAAGAACAATGAGTTTAGAACGTACCACTAAAGAAAATGTGAAGTGATGTAAAACTCATAATTTAATTAATAAAATTTATTTACATATGGAGAAATGTTTTTGCTATATATATATATATATATATATTAGCATTTGTAAAATTTTAAAAATTTAGAGGTGGAAACAATAATAATTTTAAAAATGTGGGTTCCATGATAAAAAAGTAATTGTGGGACCCTGATCAAAAACGATAGGATTAAAATTCAAAGTAAAACAAATAATAAATGTAAAAGAGGTAATAAAAAAATATGAGTGTGGATGTACTACAAGAATATTACAGGTTTAATCTACATAAAATATAAAAAAACAAATACGTATATACTTCAATGAATAATTTTTATTGTTTCAAATTTTAACTTACATAGAATAATAGTTTCCACATTAAATAATTTTTTAATTGAATTGTTAAAATCTATAAGATAATAAATTATAAAATAAAATAAATTTTTTTATAAAATAAATTTAAATATTTGTAAATATAAGATTTAAAGTGGGATGAACAGTGATTTTTTTTTTCCCAAAAAAAATTACACTTGAAGATTGCGGGGCCTACAATAAAAAGTTAAGTGTGAGATCTATTTCGTAGTTGTGGGAATGTAAGAGACCTATTATTTCTTATTTGCATTTTTTTACATATATAAGATGATAAATAAATGAATAAAATACAAACCTAAATAACAATTTATAAAATAAATTTTTTTATTATTTTAATTTTAATTTATGAGAGAATAACAAATTTTAGAATAATAAATTATTCTTTCTAATTTTAACATACTCAAAGTAACAATTTTTATATATAATTTTTTTAATGGTACGGGGGCCATGTTATTTATGGTTTCAGTAACGTTTAGATAAGAAAAATTATAAAATAACATGGTGTAATGTTTTTTTTTTTTTTTGGGTATCAAAAAGTTAAGTGAGTTAAAGCGTGGGAGTTTACTAAGATAGGGGTATATCTCTAAGGTAAAAGGTATTTAACTTACATATTACCCACTAGCAAGATCTTAATATTGGCAGCAAAATTTGATTCAAAAACCTTTCAAGTTATGAGTTAATTTTTTATTAATTGAACTAACTTTTACTGACATGTGTTATTTAAATTTTAATTCCTGGTTGATAAATTTTAAATTTTAATTTAGAAAATAGAATTTCAATTTAATTTCTAATAGATAAATTTTAAATTTTAAATCGGGCAATTTATCCTATAATTTATTACAAGACATTTTTATTTTTCTTAGAATGATGCACGAGGGAAAAAAAATTCTAAAATAAATTAAGATAATTACATTTTAATTTGCAGGGGTGAGAGATTTAAAGAAAAGCATTTTTAATATACATAAGGGTAACATATTGCAAAATAGATATTGATGCTTAGGTAATTTACTCCAAACAGCTAATGGCAGATCCCGGGATACTTCTTGGGATAGAACTTTCTTCTTCAATTAGCTATGGGGGAAGAACTCAATAGGAAATATATTTTTTAATCTAATTTTAAAATTTTCCCACCTGTTAATCAAAGGAAGAGTACAAATGTATAAGGGGATAACACACTTTAAAATAAATAAATACTCCATCCATTAAAAATATAATGTACTTTTTGAGGATGTTTAAAAATGTAAGGCATTTTAATCTTTTAAAATATAATTATTGCTTTTTTTAAAGTACTCATATTAAATAAATCACTTTATATTTATTTTAGGATAAAATGTCTCATTAAATAAGAGTAAATATGAAAAAATAGGGTTAGTTTGAAAACAAATAATTACTTTATTAAGAGTGAGATTCGATTAAAAATAATTTACATTTTTTAATGAACGAAGTATGTGCAAAATATAACATAATATTTTGAAATATAATAAATTATCTAAAATTTTAATTTATGTAAAATAAAAAATATGATATTTTAAGTACAAAAAATAAATTATTTTTTATTTATTTTTATCTTTTAAGTATTAAAATAAATCTAGTTGATTACAAACAAGCATGACATAGTAAAGTGCCAGTGTGAATAATATTTAGATGTTTGTTTCTAATTAAATCAGGACAAGTAGATCCTTCATATATGATTTATTTTATAACAAACTCTTATTATTAATATTATTAACATATCAAAATCAACTTTTTTTGATTTGATTAAACATTTTTTGGTCCTTCAAGTCTCTCTTTATTATCAATTTGGTTCTTCCAATTTAATTTTAATCAATTTAATCACTTACATTTATTTTAATTATCAATTTGGCCTTTATTGTTTGAAAGAAAAACATAATTTTAAATCTCTACACTTTACTTAACTTTTATTATAAATTCTTACACTTTAATTTTAATGTTCTACGTCCTTATACTTTTGCTTTTTAGTGTTTTAAGTCTTTATAATACTATTCATGAAAGAACCTAAAATATCAAAAAACAAAAGTGTTGAGATATAAAACAAAAAAAAAATATCACACCCTGTAACAAAAATTTAAGCAAAGTACAAAAACTTAAAGTTAAAATAAAGGTTATATTGTTAAAATTTACTGACTTGAATAGCTTAATATTGATGGCAACCCTATAAATTAATGAAAAAATATAATCATTTAAGTTTAAAAAAAAGAAGACGACTCTAAAATTTTAAAAAAGCAAAACATGGTGTAAAAGATTACCCAAAAAAAATTAAAATAATTTGTATTATAAAAAATAAAATAATTTGAAGGTTAATTTGTTTTGATTTAACTACAAATAAATGCCAAGTTAGCAATATACTCTACACACTAAATTATTTTGAGAGTCAATTTATGTTCTAAAATTTAAAGAACTCGCATGATAATTAAGAAAAAAAAAACATTAGGAAACAAATTAATAACAATTAAATTTAAGAAACAAAATTGATAATTGAGGTAAACTTAAAGAACCAAAAACTTTATTAGCCCATAAAAATATATTAAATATACAAGATTAAGTATTTAAGCCTTAACATAATATTTAATCCAGTTGCTATTTTTGTACAAATTAATTGTGTATCTTAGTTTCAGCCTACATCTTGACATCTACGAATTTTGAATTAGATAGTAACCTAGCTATACATCAACCAGCAAAGGAAAACTCTAAATAAATTACATGAAATAAAACATGTTCTCTGTCAAATCAAAATAACACTAATTAAACATATAACATACATTCTACTTTTTAAAATTTTATTTCCCACCTAACAATCTTTTCTTTTCAAATAATTTAACTTAAAATTAAAAAAAATAGAAACACTAACCTCGAGCTATTCCTTCCTTATTATAGATATATGATTTTGCAAAGAAAATGAATAAAGCCAATCCCATCACACTGAGTACAGCAAGTAACCAGTAAAAGTAATCAAGATGTGCCTGGTTGAGATTATCATCAAACCAGCTACGCTGTTCATCTTTACCACTTACTTGCTCTATCACATAAACTAGAAAGCTGCTCAGTAAGCTCCCCACACCAAGAATACTCGAGTAAAGAGCAAGACCCATACTTCGCAGTTCTTTTGGAACCTGATCATAGAAGAATTCTTGGAAACCAATAATGGTGAAAACGTCAGCAACTCCAAATAAGAAGTATTGAGGAATTAACCACCATACACTCATTGGAATAGTTGCCTTTGGATCATCAACTAGACCAGAGTCTATTGCTGCTTGTAGTCTTCTCATCTCAACAAGAGCTGCAATTACGACTGTAATTATGGATAAAAATATTCCAGTTCCAATTCTTTGCAGCATTGTGATTCCTGAGGGTTTCTTAGTGATAAGTCTCGCTGCCGGTACAAATATTTGGTCATAGATGGGAGTAAAAACAACAATGCCTAAAGGTATGAGGGTCTGAAGGGAAGCAGGAGGAATATCAAAGCCAGGAAAAATGGTCCTATTCATAGTAATTCCTTGCTTGGTAAAGAAAGTAGGAATTTGAGCGAAGACAATACCAAATACCAGGCTTGAAGCCCAAATAGGAGCAAGTCTCAGTACAGCCCTTGCTTCTTCCACCTCACTGAGGCTACAAGCCTCCTCTTCTTTTGAGCCATTTGGTACAAACAGTGCTTTGTTGAGGAAGCTGTCATTGTGGAAAACAAAAAACTACTTAAGTCAAAGAAGTTATTTTCTTACCAATCCAAAGAGGCTAAGATCAAAGAATATTTTTCCACGGAGATTGAGGGAAAATTATATGGAATAATTCTCAAAAGCTTGTAATTTACTGCAACAAAGGTATAAAATAATAAGATCCACTTTAGAGGCATCATGAAGTGCTGTAGATAATAACTAGTTCATTGAAAATTGTAACAAGATTCAAAGTGACTTTATTTAAAAAGATCAAGGCATGCATGAAAGAAACAACTTTCCTGACTTTTTTCTTTTTTTCAAATGTCAAAGACGACGACGACAATTATTATCATTATCATTATTATTATGATATTTGTTTTGGTAACATGAAAGGGTAGTTCTCTAAAAGATCCATCATCTTTACTCATCGAAGGAAGCTACAATAATGAACAGGGTCCTACTGCAAGATGGTTACATGACTATTATTTGTCAGGCATCTTTAAAAACCTCAGTCAAGCTAATAATTAATGGAATAAACAATGAAATGATGAGTATCAATTTAAACGATCCACTTTACTCACAAACTAGTTCGAGTAGTTTGATATATTTCTTTTCCTCAAGAATTTTAACTTGCCTCTACTGCAGAAGGCTGAACAACCTAACATAACATCAAAAACAAAAGAGATGGAACTATATGAAATTTACAGTCATTACCGCTACTTTCAGAATACCAGTAAATTCAAACTGATGGATTTTCAAAACAAACAATAATTAGCTGTTTCTCTTACTTGAATTGTTTGGAAGTTTGAGGAGGTGCGATATTTCTAGCATCCTCCTTGAAAGCAATGTTTGATAGGATGATTCTCCGATTTCTTACAGCAGCAAGAAAAACACGGCCAATTCTAACAAATGGGCTCTTCTCATGCCCTTCAACGTGAAACCTGTAAGTCTTAGTTCCAAGCAGGAAAATCAACAACGCCACGATCATTACAAGAAAAGGGATTCCAAATCCAACAACCCAGCCTATGTTGTCCTGTATGTAGTTCAATATCAATACGGATACCAAGATACCTGCACACATTGTAAAATACCACCAATTAAAAAATGAACTTCGCTCTTTGCATTCTTTGGGATGTTGTTCATCAAATTGATCGGCTCCAAAAGCTTGAACACAAGGCTTATGTCCTCCTTGTCCAAGGGCCACAAGGTAAAGTGCCGAGAAGAACAATATGACTTGCAACTTTATAGAACATGATGCAAATTTAGAGGCATCTTCACATTCAGAATTAAGAAGAGAAGGAAGCATAGCTGACAGTGTCAACAAGCCTAGTCCCTACAATTCAAGTAAAGCCAAATTAAGCACTGGCAACCAAATGAGGCATGAGTTCTAAACCTCCTATCATGCTCTTCTATGAAATTTCAAAAAATATTTTCTCTTAGAGAATCCTATTAATTTTAGTTCTGTATGTTACAATTAATTTTATTCTTCACTAATAACCCAAGTTAAAGAAATTCATGCTCCTCTTGGCATGCATGAATAACATATGGCTATAAGAAATTATCATGTTTTAAAATTGCCCTTAATCGCCCCTGAAAAAGCATGGATGCTTGCATGAACGAAAGCTTCAACACAGCAATATACAGCATGAGGAGGCATGATTTCAAGTCTCTTAAAGCTGGCTATACCAACACCCCCCCCCCCCAGGGGGAGGGGCCAAACAAACTTTCCTTATACTAAACCAACTTAAAATGACACAAAAGCAACATTTGCTTCTGAATTATGAGTCAGTCCCTGCTAAAAGAATACCCTTTTTTCGATTGCCAATAAAAAGAGATTAATCCTACTTCAAGACTGAGGTCGAATTTCCACAGTCAATGTGGGAAGAGTGCAAGTCCATATGTCAAATTTAAAGAATATATTCAGATCCAAGTCGACCTTTGCTTTATAAACAAACATATCACAATAAACTCCCCAAAAGATAGCAACAGGGCAAGCTTATAACTTCCTACACTACCAGTATTTTAACATAATCCAAAATCGCTCATACTAATAAAACATCATGTACACAGAATATGCAGAAATGAATATTCCTCGTTTAATAAAAGTAAGAATGGAACTTCACTTCTTGAGCCCACGACTAAATACTTTTCCAAGATGGAAAGAACGCAAAACCATAGAAAGGTTAAAGACTGAAAGGACTTCATCAAACTAAATGTATACACGTTAATTTCACCCCAAAAAATGCATATACGTTAAAAAAAAATGACTGTAAGAGGGCACATTAATTTGCTTGATTCATTAATGTTAGCAGGTGAAACAACAAAAACGGTGAAACAGTAACTGCACTCACCAAGATATAAACAAGGGAAGCAACGACAATGGTGCGGTAGCGTCCAAGATAAGAATCAGCCACAAATGCTCCCAATAGAGGCAGTAAAGACGCCGTTCCCTCCCAGATATTGACATTTCCGGCGGCGGCGGCCGTGCTCTGGCGGAGCGGACCCGTTAAGAAGGTGATGAGGTTCGACTCTATTCCGTAGAATGCCATTCTCTCTCCCACTTCCACACCTTCGAATCCAAAAATTAAAATAATCAATAATAAACAAATAATCAATTCTACGAATTAAAATATAGATTCAGTGGAAGAGTACTTATGGTGAACCAAGCCGATCTCCAGTAGCCTGACTTGGATCTAATGAGTGGTTGGCCTCTGTAGTCAACGGCACCATGAACTGTATCGAGATGTAGCAAAGGAGTTTCAATTTCAGAATCCATTGCAACTTCGTCGAATGGAATAACGGTAATTTTCTATTTTCCAGATTACGATGAAAGCAAGGTTTCCGCCATTGGAGCTCCCATTTCACAAGACGTTGAAGCTGAGTGGAGAGAACGATTCCCGTCCACAAATGGGAAAGAGTCCAAGCCAGCCTTGCTGGAAGTAGTACTTTTTCAGTTTGGGTATTATAAGAACGAATGAAGATTAGTTTTGGTGATAACATTCGTTAATTTTTATATTCATCTTTACCATTTTAATTTTATTAAAAATTTAAAAAAATTATTAAAAATAATTATTTTTGTCTGTTAAAATATCCTTGGTTTAAGGGATAATGGAGCTTTTATATTATCTTATTTAATTTTATTGGAGGAGAGAAAAAAAAAGAAAAATTTTTTATGATTTTTTATTTAATTTAAAGGAGGAAGAAATGGAAGATATGTGCTAGCTTTTTTTTATTATTCTTTCTTGTTTAAGGTAATTTTACACTTTAATTCAAATTACATAATTTACAATAATTTACTTTCATCACAACATATTGCCAATTGCGTGTATTAAAAAATAATATAATAATGACAACAATTTTTCACCTCTTTAACATAAAAAAGTAAGAGGTGTTATCATTATTAGATTAAATAATTCAGATTTTATCAACTAAAATTAGAAGGCTTGTTAAATAATTCGAGGCCAAAAAATATATTTGGAGACTTGTTGAGAAAGAGGATGTGCCCAATAATTTATCTACGTGTCTGCATCAAATACAGCAAACTCAACTAATTTAGTAGAACTGTTGGTGAAAAAAAAAATTATTTTGTAGAACTAACAATGAACTGTGCCCAATGCTTCACGAACGCCCTGACCGCGGGAAAACCTTTATATGGAACATGAGAAAATATAAAAGGGAAAATTAATTAAAAAAATTGACTTTTTCCCAAAAAAAAAAAGAAAAACATCAATTTGAAGGAGGCAAAACAAGATGGGGAGGGGAGGCTCCCCTCTCCTCCAAATTTTCCATCCTCCAAATTTTCCAACCAATCACAATTAATTGAATGTATCACTGGTTAGAAATAAAAAAAATTACTGATTTTTTTAATTTTATTCGTTCAATTCCATTTTCACTCTAAAGTCTAAATTCAATTGAATTCGGTATACCGATAGTTTCTTCTTTTTTTTTATACAATATACTGATGATTTCTTTCTCTTGGTTGTACTGGGCTACTAGCAGTGGCATAGTAGTTTGGCATCTGCTTATTAAAATTGTCAAGCTATTCAAAACTTCAAATCCTGTATAGTTTGCTGGAATGAAATGAATTAAAAAATCAAATTAAAAATAAGATGATTAAAGTGTAGAGATACATAGTTGAACCATATTTATAAAGAGGAAGATATTTGTGAAATTTGCAAAAGGCATGATAATTCTCATATTTATAATATATAATATTGAGTTTTATTATACTTACCATGAGAAAGAAGAGTGATTTAATTAATTTTTATTTTAATTTTTTCAATCAATTTTATCCTCATCCTTTTTCATAAATAAACAGAAACTTAGAGTTAGGAGGACAGGGTGCACAAAATAGCCACGTTTTAGACATCAATATGAAATCATCAATCATTAGCCAACTATCAATCTGAATTCTCAACTTGATTGGTCAATTTTTCTTCTCTCTAATTGGTGGGTGCACTTTGGTTTAATTTTAATTATCTTCTCTCATTCACTGGACAACTTTGGTCTAAGAGAAATTTTGTATCCTCATTGATTGGCTCTTTTCTGTTTATACAGTATTATGCGTTCTGCCCCCTCCCTCCATTTTTCAAATTCGATATCAATTCTCCAATTTTCATGGGAGCATTAACTTCCATCACCATTTCTATTATCTCTTCAAAAGAGCATTAACTAAGCCATCTATCATAGGAATGTTAGGGCCTATTTGGCAATTTGTTTTGAAAACATTTTTATATTCTCCAAAATAAAAAAAAAATCTGTTTGATAACGTGTTTTTAAAAAATATTTTTAAAAAACAAAAAGATAAAATATTATTTTAGAAAATAGAAAAACAGAAATATTTTTTAAATGTTCTGAGATTATTGTTCTTAAGAATAAGGGAGAATAAAAAAACATATATTTTTATTATTTTTTTATTCTCAAAACATGTTCTACAAAACATCACTTCTAAAAAATATAAAACAAAAATTAATTTCAAACAAGCCCTTAATATTTGTCATTTCTCATATTCTTGAGTCTTATAGGAGTGAATTTTTCTTCCCAATACAAGATGAGAGTATTATACAAAGTGATTTGCTTTTTCATATTGCCTAATGGAAGAAGTTGATGAAAGTCTTTGATCATCAATCATTGGTCACCCATTACTACCAAATGGGTATGTTACCTATGGTGTAGAGTTAGGTAGCCAAGGTGGAGCAGTTTCACCCCCTTTTCCAATCATCATTCCTTTTGCCTCCCTACCTTCCACACATTTTAACTCTGTCATTATGTTATGCGTGCATCTTTGATTCTCTTTAATGGTGGAGATATGGTGATCAAGGTAGAGGAGTTTCGTCACTCTTCCCAATGGTGAGAGAAAAAAACATCTCTTGATTTTATTTATCTTTTGATTCTCTCCATCTTGATGTTCTTTCCTTCGAATGCTGAAAATAAATCAAGGTGCAAAGTAACTAAAGAAAAGCGAAAAGTCAAGATCCTTAAGATTAAAGCTACACAAAGACCAGGTTTGGCCTAAACTCGAGGTCCAATCTAAAATCATCATAAGTTAGAACTTACTGTTTGAGGTCTGCTCCAATATGAGATAAACTTGATGTGACCAAACTGGGCTTAGTCTCTCATGTAAAAGACAAGTCTACCAAACAAGACCATAATTTCCTTTTTAAATCTAGGTGTTGAGTGACATTTAAGAAGATGAAGAGGAGAATCTAGAGATATTAAGAGATACAAGGAAAATATTTGCAACAAATCAACAATAGTCAACATGCTAATCAATAAAAATATTTAAGAGAAAAATTCATAAAAATACTCAACAGATCTAGCAACATATATATATAGATTGGGTTATATTAGACCCACTAGGTTATTACATAGACCTACCGATGATTATTGACGAAAGGTGAGAGCATGAATTTGAACTTTCTCTCATTAACTTTAAATATTGTCCTTGATTTATCTCAGTAGTTTAAATTTAAAATCTTTCATTAGCTTCTTGATGGCTATTCTTCTAATCAAGGTTATAGTTTATGGTTGTATTGTTCCTCTTGCCTTTTTGCATTATTGTGTTCTAAGTGCATAATATCCAACATTATAGACCAATACAAGCTTATTGTAAGTACAATGCCCTCTCTCTCTCTCTCTATATATATATATATATATACATACATATATCCCTATCTTTTTGCATGATTCTCATATAAAGTTTAACCTATTCCATTTTCTTGGAAGAACTATGGCCCCATGTATGATTATCTTATATGGGTCTACTTAATATTAGATTTTTATAAATACATACATCTTTTTTAGGCCATTAGAACTTAGGTTCTCTATACATATGTAGTGTGAAGTATTTTGAATGTTCTCATATGACAAATGTATTTGACAATAGACTACTTCTTCCATGCATATGCAAGATGAAATGAACTTGTATCATCTTTCCATAGACTTACATCTTCATATTCTTAATTAGAATTCTGGGAAGTAGTTAATTATGCATCTTGTATTTTTCTTGTGTTTTCTTTTATTAGGATTATGAGTTCACTTTACTTTCATTTTATATGTGGCTCTGTTCTCTTTTATCTGTCCATTGCACATTTTATCCTCACACACACAAGCATGTAATTTATGATGTTTTACATATTAATCTTATTGTAATTGAAACTATACCATGTCATTTTTTAAACTAATGCCTTCCAGTTTCTAATGATGTTGTGATTAGTAGTTATCTTTGTTGTATGTTTACTTAGTTCTTTGATTGGGGATGTGAAATTTTACATAAATTTGTATTCAAACTATTTTACTATTGATCTTAGGTTAAATTGAAGGATTTTTATGATTTTTGGTTTAAATCCTATGTTTTATATATGATTTGAAGAAGTATACATTACAAGTACTTCTTTATTATATTTTAATGTTAAATTATTTTCAGTACTCTGTTGAAGTTGGGATGATTGCTATAAGGCTAGTATAGAAAGAGGATATGTACTATGTTGCCAAGGAAATTGGTGCTGCATTGATAAGTCCTTTTCTTTTCCTTTAACAATATGCACAAGAGGAGTTATTAGTTGTATTATGTAATACCCTTCTTGACATTACCATTTAATTCTCAACATACAATCTATCAAATAAAATCATTTTAAGAAAGGTTGGGATCCTAATTTAAACATTTGAGAACCATTTCTTAAATACTCATCATATAAAGCAATACACAGCAAAAGCACTTAAATCATGTGCATGACAACCTTAAGAATACTGATTTTAAACAATACAATACGGCATATGCCATGTAACGCGGCATGTGGCACAAACACACTAGCATTGGCTTTATGTTGTGTGCCGTAACACTTACATCAAATTCTACTATCAAAATAATAGTTCTGATGTGAACTTTGGACTTGAGCCATTGTCGCATCCAATATCCGATTGTGATAAATCAAGCACCTACACGAAACTTGTTTCTAAATCTAACTAATGACACTGGTTTCATTTCAATTTGATATCTCATTTAAAAGTTAGACAACTAAGTACATTTTGATCAATTTAAGTCAAAATCTTTCACTTGAACATCTCAATTGAAAACCATAAGTTATTGGCCACTTTTAAGTCCTTGATCACATCCAATGAGATAATTTACACTTGATTGACCACTCATATACACATTATCACACATATATCCAAATTTAGCCAATAAACTGCCTATTTCACACACATTTAAGCATAACTGTAATATTTTACACAATTTCACACAATTGGCCAAACTTGTCACTTTCATCACAGTTCATTCTATTCATATACTCATAATCAATCTCCTAGCCCGTATCATTACTTTCACTTTAAACACACTTATATACACCAAATAGAGTTGGATACAAAATCATGTTTACAGTTATAATCAAAATGCTTATGCACAATTATATACTTCTATGACAACTTATATAATACAAGTTGTAATATCCTT